TTTTTTTTTTTTTTTTTTTTTTAAAGCTGAGTGGACAAGAACTGGCAGTTTCGCAATGCCCTTGGAACCCATGTGCCATTTCTGAACGTCAACCCTTCACTTTCCCTCTCATCTCAGCAGGATTTTTTCCAAAGAAATGAGTGTCACCATCAACCGGCAAGTAGAATAAAACATATAAAAGCAAAGGAACTCAAAGGATCTAAGTAATTGCAACTCTAAATCCCCATCCGTTATGGGGTTGCCATAGCCATCCTAAAACCAAAATAACACTGTTGCTTTTTAACAGGCATATTCCTCAAACAAATAACAAACTTTGATAACAAAAGGTTGAAACGAGGAAGTTAGTGGATGCGTACACTTTGAAGACCTAACACATTAGGAAGATATACTCTGTCTTCAGTCATGAGTCTCCCCTTGTGATTTAGTTATGTGGTTCAGGAACTTGTTCCTGTGCTGCAGATTTTTTCTTCCAGGATGTAATGGTGATCTTAATAGTCTGTTCTCTCCCTAACATGCAACTACTGGAGGTCTAGGCCCAGCCCGCAGTCCTGAAAGAGACTGCCTACGGGATTAAACGTGCCTACTTCTGCTTCATTTGGTAGATACGTTACTAGGTCACAGTTCTGAGCCAGAAGTTGCCCAAAAAATGCAAAGTGTTACTGCACATGGAAACACAACAGGCCTGGTCCATTTGTGCACCACTGAAAACACCCTAAATTAGAAGATGTAAAGCTCAGCCAGGATAACAGCCATCTTGAACACTACAATAAAAGGGGTGCAATTTTGAAGGGTGGGCCTTCTCCCGAAACCTGCGCTGCGACAATCAAGATGCCACGGTTTCTGTAGGATGCTCCTGGTCGGAAGCATCCATCCCATCGTGGCACAGAGCAAACCTAGTGAGGACCCCCCTACCTCGGGGGTCGTCAAGAGGAGGTCTGGCTGGGGTAGTACAAGCCCAGCGCTCGTTCCTGCCTAGGCAGGGGGTCGGGCTTGATGATCTGTTCAGGTCCCTCCTGACCCTAGAAACTACGAAGCGCGGGACGAGGAAAGGGGCCTTTCCTGGGGGCGTCAACCTCTTAGCACTCCCAATTCCTCCCCGGGGCCACCTGGCCGGGGAGATGCTACTAGGGGCTCCGCTCTCCCTGGAGCGACGCCGGCAGGGACCCGCTCAATGGGGAGCTCACGCTTGCCAGGACGGGGCCACGCTGTTTACCGGCAGCCCCCTCCCCGCTCCCCGACTTCTCCTCGAACAAAAGACAAAGCGCCGGGACCGGACCGGAGGCCGGGCCGGGCCGGCGGGAGGGCGGGACAAGGCAGGTCCGCAGGAGC